AAGGCCACCCAGTGGGTTTTTACAGGGCCTTCCCTGTAGAGAGGCAAGGCAGAGGAGGGCAGGCCAGCCCAGGGCAACGAGGGAGGGAAGAAGGGAGGCCTTCCCAGAAACACCGCACCTCGGCCCTTTTCTTCCTCCTCCTCTTCCCCCAGGCCAAGCCAAGCCACTGCGGACGGCACACAGGGGACTGACTGACAAACCAGGAACTAGCCAAGTGGCAAAAAACAAACAAACAAACAAACAAAAAACAAAACCGGAAAAACGGGAGGACCGCGGCGGCAAAAAACAACAACAACAACAACAAAAAAAAAACAATGCCAGGCAGGCCGCGAGCCAGTTAAAAGGCCTTGGTGGGCCAGCCCCGGCCTGTGGGCTGTAGTTTGAGGACCCCTGGTGTAGTGGTTTGAAAACTGGACTATGACTCTGGAGACCAGGGTTCAAGTCCCTGCTCAGCCATGGAAATCCACTGAGTGACCTTGGGCACTCTCAAAACCTCAGAGGAAGGTAAATCCCTCTCTGAACAAATCTTGCTAAGGAAACCCTGTGATAGGATTCCCCTTTGGATTGTCATAAGTTGGAAATGACTTGACAGCATACAACAGTAATGTTAACAAGGCCTATTCATTTTAGTGGATCTACTCTGTTTTAGACTATTGTTTTAACTATTTTTATTTTATTTTATTTAGACTGTTTTAGACTAACAAGTCAACTGTTAAGCAGTTGACTTAGACTTGAATCCCTTATTACGGTAATTTTCTATAATGAAGAAAAACCATCTGTGTTGTTCAATAGGTGAAAGAATATAAATGTTGTCAGGAGTCATGTATGGGGAAGGAAAGAAAAGATATTCAAGCCACTGATAAAACATGACTGACAGTTTGTTAAAAACTGTATTTAGGATAGACTTCCCCAACTTGGCAGTTTCCAGATGTGTTAGTTTACAAATCTCATACTCCTTAGCAGCAGTTGAAATTCCAGTTCCAGGTTGGGGAAACAACTTAGGGGTCATTCAGACTTTTATTTTTTAGTTGAATGATGCAAATAACCTCACTCACACATTTTGGGTTTGCTATTCACACTGTAGAACCACATCTCTGTACATCTCTGTGAGTTCAGTTGCTCACACATGCCAGTACTTGAATAAACATGGAGGCAATGATGCAAATGTATTCAAAACATGTTGAAGGCATGCAGATTTTAATCCTGGGTCTATTCGCATCAGTTGTAGTGGAGTTCTGTGACTGAGGGTGATTTTTTTTGTGCCTCATACATTGCACTTATAACCTTGCAAATCTAAAGTTCTCAAGACTGTTTGGCTAGCAATGACTGTGAATGAAATGGAGTGAAAAATCAAACTATGCATCATGCCACAGGGCCAGGGGAAAAAAAAGCCCCCTGCCAGAACTCGGAAAACTTACTTTTGGATTACAATTCCCAAAATGTCCCAGTCAACATGGCCTTATATCTTGTCATCTGTGGGTCAAACCATGGTAATGTTTGACCCACACATGATAGCACATTTTCTCTCCAGCAATGCTGTTGCTTCAGAGATTTGTATCTGAGAAACAGACTTGTAAATGAATGCGCTTTTTACCTCAAGATCACCAATCTTCAAACAAACAAAGCCATTTTTTTAAAAAAAATGGAGGTGTGAAAAGCTTGTTTTAGGAGAATGAGATTCCTTTTACTACTTTAGGAAGCATCACTTCTAAATGCATAGCTTGCTACTAGGATTTTAACTATGTTATTGTTTAATACTGTTTTAAGGGGGGGTAGGATATGTTGTTATTGTAATGGTTTTATGTTGTAAACCACCCAGATTGGGCAACCATTGGGCGGTATATAAATAAAGTATTATTACTATTATTATTATTATTATTATTATTTCATCTACTTTGACTTGGAATAATGGTTCCCTCTCTCTCTCGCTGTATGTTTATATATTTTTAGGATGAGATGTATTTGAGGGCTGGGTTATGCTGGATCCTATGCTTTATAATGATGTTTTTAGTAATGATGTATGTATCTATCTTATTTATCTCTCTAGTATTTATTTTTCATTTATTTCCCCCTCTACCACTGAAGATTATAAAAGGAAAATTCATTGTGCCAGTCCAGGGCTGGGATAAAATTGGGCATGTGGCTCTAATTGGGAGGACCGAAGGGATGTATATCCTCTTCCTCTGTGCTAACCACCCATTTGCTCCTATGAGCAGTTTCAGTGGTGCATCTTGACTAAAGGAAAAGCCACAGCAACAGAATGTACATCTGACATAACTGAGTTTTCTGAAGACAAATCTCTTATGGTAGTTGTGCATCTGCAATTCTACCAGCATTAACAGGTCTTCTATAGTCCAGAAGTGGGCAACATATTCTGCCCATTGTGTCCCCCACCCAATACATACTGTGTATCCATTTTTTTTTTACTAAACTGGAAGTGACCAGAGATTACTTCTGTTTTTTAATGATATCCCCCCCCCCCCATGATCTGAGTACTTTCAAAACAGTAAAGAATAAAAAAATTGTTTCCATGGAGGCTTCTAGGGGTGTGACTACCCACTTTTTTCATTAATAGGGTTGCTCAGGGGGGCAGCACAAAAAGCTTTGATGGGCTGCATGGGATCTGTGGGATGCACAGTTCTTACCCTTACTATGATTCCTCTATTCATCTCCCTGCAAAGAGAGATTTCTGGAACCCTTATATTCTTGTTTGCCCAAGTTTAGTGGCATCATTCAGAAAGCACACTTAAATTAATCTTTTCCTTTTAGTGGTAGCAGGATATTAGATTTTTTTTTTGTATTTATTACTGTGTTGCAGTCTATATGTTTCTATCAAGGTTGTGTACATTACTTGTAAAAGAAAGACTATAAAATATTAGAAGCCTACAATGAAACAAAACACCAACCCTAATTTTTTTCCATTTCCCAGCAAAATAAGCCATCAGTGTTAGACTGTATAATTGACACCATTGCTTAGGGAACAAACCTATGAATCTTATTAGAGACAAATTCATTACTTTAAATCCACCCTTAGGATGCAGAGCTCATCAATGGAACCTCAGGAGGCTGCAGCTTAGAGGAAGAGATGATTTGAGGCTACAAATCTACAGATTTGCTGTAATTAACCTGAACTAATTATTGTCAGGCATTGGGTCAGACATCCTGTAGAAAGGCATTTCAGTCTAGTTTTGTGGTCTCTCCAGTTTTTACAAGGCCAGTTTTTCACTGAGAAAAAGGAAATGCAACAGTTCTGGAGCAATATTGTTAGTTAAGCCAAAACCAGTTTCCGCACCAGGACAAAGTGGGTTGAAATAATAAATTTACAACTGTTTCTTCAGACAGTTTTAGTATAAATCCATAGTTTCTGGTCATTCCAATGTCAGTAGGGCTGTGAATTCACTCCCTGTCTTAATCTGAATTTTAAAAGGAGCTATCCAAGGTATGAAATCATATCCTTGGAAGAGTTGGATTCAAGATACCAGTGGCTTGCTGCATAAGTTTGTTACATTCCTTTTACATTTATTATGAGTATAACTGTAAGGAGGGGGAATTGAAAGCAGTGTGTATTTCATGAACTAGGTAGACAAGTGGTATAATCCAGATGAACCAAGATGTTTATTAACATCTTATTAGCCTCTTTGCAGATGTATTATGAAATATCAGAAGCCCTGGCCTGTTCAACAGAGTAATGGAAAATTTTAGTCCTTCAGTCCGGCCAGAGAGAGGAGAAGGAGAGGAGCAGCTGGGCAGCC